TAGTATTCGGAAGCGGCTGAAAAGCTTCTTCCCAATTATCACATCTTGTGCTCCGAGGTCCAGGAGTACAAAGGGGCAGTTATATATCCAGCGTCCTTCGACTGTTAAGTGTAACCGAATATACTCCGATACGTGGCCTTGGATTTTGCGCTGAAATCCACGTATGGGTACAGAGTAGGGTAGTTTCCGTATGGGGCTCTGAAGCGCTTTCGACAGTCGTATTGCGAAAGGCTTGTTAATGACGAGGTAGCCATTTGCTCCTGTGTCTGCCAGGGACTTCGTTTGCACCCCGAGTCCATTCATACTCAGGGTCGTGTCGACTAAGAACTGGGTACCTCCCAGGAGTTCTCGTAAGTCTAGTCATCGCAGGTCACATTTGCGTAGACCTAGGAAGGAGCCTTCTCCTAGGCCTCGTCGTTTTCCTTGAGGGACGCATCCGATTGAAGTTCCACGGCTTCTTCCCAGTGTTCTTCTGCCTCGGGGTCGTTACGGTCCATTTCCTTGATAGTAGCGTTAAGGGGGCATTTGTCCTGGAAATGGCCAGGCTTGCGACACTTGAAACAGTTTCCTGAGGGCGCAGGTGTCATACTGACATTCGTTGCACTCAGTTTGCTATCAAACTCAAGAGCAAACTTGGAAATCTCCTCCTCAAACCTACAAGTCACTATACATATTTTGGCTTATCACACCAACAACAAGAGCAATACTACTCAACGATTGCTACAACCATCTATGATTCATTACACGTCATCGCTCCTTAGTTACTGGGCCGATATGACCACATAGCATATCTCTACAACCCTCTATGATTCATTACATGACATCACTCATACTACCACATGACATATCTCTACCAACTAAAGGCCTAGGAGCATGAACGATAGCTCTAAAAGCTCCTACGAACCTCTATGATTCATTACATGTCATCGCTCTTTAGTTACCCACAAGATTGGTTAAGTTATGACATAATTTGTCTATGACATAATTTGTCTATGACATAATTTGTCTATAGGGGTACTCTGACCTTGGACCTCCTTTTACTTCCTATAGGCTACGAACCTAAGAGATGGTTCTATGGGATTCTCTTACGTCGACTACAGTTACCAAGCCTGGTAATCATGGAAAGTCTTGGAAAATGAGAGAACTACACTCCTTTAGCATAAATAAGATTGCCCTTTCCTTAAGAAAGGGCAAGCAGACAATACAGTAAATCGACTATCACATACTTCCACGTCTTTTCCAAGCTTCCAAGCATTCATCTTGTTACTCCTTGTTTCTGAAAAGTCAGTGAGGTGTTAACCTCTGACTTACCCCTGAGTTCCCAGACTCAACATTTGTTGCAACTTGTCTGAACCACTTCACTACATCACACACCTGATTGCTGCGTTGTGGAATAGTCTAAGCTACGACCCTTTGGCTCTGTTTTCTAAGACAGTGTGTTGTCTTAGTAAATTCATCCCTTCCTTGGGTGGCTAGATTCTCACATCTGGTGCACCCACCATTACAGCAGGGACTGCAGTTCTCAGACGTTCCAGTATGGCTGGCTTGGGGAGGAACGCGGTTCGGGTGAACAGAGCGGATGTGGCTCGAGTCGGCTTCGACGCTGACAACGCCTTTGCCGTATCTGAGGTACGTGTGGATGTCCTTGTGAGAGCGGGTAGCGGATTCAATTCGTTGTTCTGGCGCCGTTCCTGATCGAAGGTGGTAAGTTCTCGTACCATGGTCTGGTATTCTCCATTCCATTGGTTTTTGATGATCGCGATGCGGCTGCGGAATTGGGGAGTCAACTTGTTCCACATGTACTGAAACCATTCCGACTCGGAGACTTGTCCTGTGATAGCTGCACTTTGGAAACGAGCCTTGAAGTCTGGGAAGGTTTCGCTAGCATGCCCTTTCTCTCCCATTTGCAGGTCGTCGAAGAGGTTCCTGGCCTGTTCCGTCTCGTTGCCTGTGAGGTAGTATGAACCTAGTAGATCCATCATCTCCTCAGCACTGCGGAACCCATTCGTAGCGGACAGGTATTGGGGCTCTAGGTAGGTCTGCGCCAGGCCGGTCGTAGTTCCCCATATCAACGCTCTTCTCGACACGTCGGTGAGGTAGTGGTCCTCATTGACTACGAATCGGTCCCGAATCGAAGCGCTCCATTGTAGGAAGGTATGTTCTACCCCATCGCTGAGAGGAAGGATTTTTTCAGAGATGGTTGATTTCTTATAGCGATTCGGAGGGTCCTCGGTGTGCATTCGTGACGACCCTGGAATCGATGGAGAATGAGTGTTCCGAAGAGGCGGCAATTGAACTGTCTCAGGGGTGTTTCCCCGAGGCGTTCGTTGCTCCGTAGCTTCGATTGTGGGTATGGGGGCGTCCACCGGCGGTGTGGACGGGATTCTGGTCTGGGATGCCGACAGGATAACTAGTAGATCCTTGACCTCCTGTATCTGTGCTTCGAGGTGGTCCATTCGACTCGGGATATCTTCGGATGGCACAGCGGTCGTAGCTGCAGCGGTGGTTTGTCTGGTAGTCATTCTGGGCAGCTGACCGTCGTTGTCTTGGGGTATGTTTGATGTCGGCTTTTTCGACATATTGCCTCGGGTGTGTATTGGTACTGATACAAAAGAGTTTGACTTCCGGTAGCTCGTAGCTATCAACGCTCTTGTCCACAATTTCCTCTGTGCTATGAGGGGGTTCTTAAGGATCTCGTATCCTATTTGGCGCCAACGCGTCAGTGACTTTACTAGCTTGTTCTGAAGAATCAAACCCTGATCCACTGGCTGTCCGTGAGATCTCTGGAATCACGGCTATTTGAAGTCGTCAGGTCTCTCCTCCGAAACATCACCGAGTCGCAGTCGATGGTGTAACGGTAGTTCTCTTGAGTAGTTCCGGTGTGGGATATTATTTAAGTACAGCCGTCCCCGGCAGGCGTGATCTTTTTTGTATAATGTAAGACACAGGGCACCCAGCTCACAGTAATAGCATATGAGAGTGTGAGTCGGAGGCTAAACGGATGCTATCCTATAGGTCTACTACGAAGGATACAAAAAAGATGAAGGGAAAAAAGATGAAGGGGGAACCCGTGAGTCATTTCCCTCAAGTACCCGAAACCCCTCCGACTTGGTTAGCCTGCCCAAATGATCACACGTGACCCGCAGCTACTCAGAGTCTGCTCCTGGTCTGCTCCTTAGAGTGAGAGACGAGAGGGCATCCTCATCAACGTCAAGACCTGGAAGAAAGCATAACAAAGCTCGAATCACTGTTGTTATTTGTACAAATGCTTCTGGATCAGATTGGTTTCCTCTATGGTTTATTGGGCATGCAAAAACACCAAGAGCTCTTCGAAACGTTAACATAGGATCTATGGGAGGAGTTTGGAAGTCAAACAAGAAAGCTTGGATGAATCAGTTCCTTATGGTGGAATGGTTATAAGCCTTTTACTTACATATCGGCACAACAAGGAGTGTACTTCTTACCATGGACAACTTCTCAGCACATATTGCTGCTATTGAAGCAGCTCCACCTCCTTCAAATATTCGAATTCTCTGGCTTCCTCGAAACTCAAGAAGTCGGTGATCAAGGTATTATTGGCTCCCTTAAAGCCCATTACCGTCGACAGTGGCTTGAATACATGCTTAATGCATTTGAGAATAACATGAATCCCTTCAACTCTATTAACTTACACTTCGCTATTTGCTGGCTTCTTCGGTCCTGGCATCATGATGTTACAGATACAACAATATATAACTGCTTCCGAAAAAGCACAATGCTTCGAAACCCAATACAGCTTTCAATCCAATCTCTTCCAGCACTCGACAACTTGTACAATCAAGTACGAAACTCTGGGCAAATTCATGATGCTATGGATATTGCAAACTTCCTTAATCCAAGTGAAGAAAATATACATGGTAGTGGAGAGCAGGATCAAGATCAAGAGGCATTACAAGAAGTTCTTTCACATTATACTCAAGATGTTGAGGATCCTGGAGCTCAAGATGATGACAAAAGCAGTGAGCAAGTCTTGCTGCCTGTGCCAACAACTCAGTCAGCTTTTACAAGCCACACAAGTTCTGATTGAGTTTCTTGAGGCTGGGAATAGTGGCGTATTAAGTACGGAGTATTTAAGAACTTTAGAACAGCTTGAGCGGCTTGTCAAGGTGAAGCAGGCAAATGAGGGCATTCAAGGCACTTTGGACAGTTGGATAACGTAGTCACGTGTATTTGATACCGCGATAATCTTGTTAACACGATATGAAATTACGGGATGCTATCCATCGTGTTATCGAGATTTTACTGTACTAGCTTTAGCACAGCGCGTTTTAGCGTATTACCAGCCTTCCAAGTTCGGCAGTTGGTCAGTGTACGTCCCTGTTCTCCCCTCCGCTGCGCCGCTACTGGCGACAATCCCAAGCACATCCAGTCGCGATTTGGATAGTATAAGTAGCAACCCCGCCCGCAAACACACGCAGAAGAAACACAGATCCCGACCCGAGTTTCCCGAGATCCAAAGAATCCTCACCGATGACGACCAGACCCTCAAATGAAACAGCGTCGCGCAGAAATTTGTGTTTGTTTGTTGCTTCGCGTTTCCGTCGTGCGTCCCCCTTGTCAGTCCCGTGCCTCGGCAATGGCATAAATCATAAATAGATCCATTTGTTTGTTTTGTTTGGCACAGGTTACGTATATTCCCCCATATGGATTTCTCACATCATCATTCCTTTTCACCCATCGGGATCATGACATGCAAATCGGCAAGGCAAAAACCTGCTGTTTGCCCATAGTAACACTTCGGGCACGTTACCCCGCTTATGTGAGGTCTTACGGCTGGGTAATGGTCTCTGTTTATCTCGTTTGCCATCATAAATAGATAGCGATGGTAGGTGTTTGGTTTCTGGTCTGCATCAGTTCACGATCTCGTAGTAATCTATCGTGGTCACTTTCTATAGCTCATCTTTCTTGAACCCTTTCTAGACTCGCTTTCGCAGCTGTAATCAATCTCCCCCAACCTGACCATGATCGTCACCCGCGTCGCGGCTCTCCTCGCGGTCCTCCGCCCCCTTGCCTCCAGCAGCGAGAGGTCCAGTCCCCCTAATAACCTCCCAGTGCAATCCTATCACACCGGCGCAGGCCTCAACGACGTCGCCCTCGTCTCCGAGGGTGGCTCCGCCGGCTACCTCAACGGAACGTACCAGCAGTTCGACCTGAATGGCGCCACATTCCCCAGCGGCCTCGTACTAGCTTATACCGAAACCTACACCAGGTGGTGCGTGCCCTGAATCTCCCCTGGACCGAGTGTTCAGAACTGATGAGTGGTAACAGGTTGCGCACGGAACTAAATGCCGGCTACGGCGACAAGGGATTCTCGTTCAACGGGAGCGGTTTGGTCTCTGATAACCCGCAGTTCCAGGGGTGGTTGGGTAGGTCGAACTGGGTCTCCGATGAAGTATTGTGAAGCTGACTGTTTGGTTTTAGCGTGTGACTGGAACCACGGTGTTGCGCAGCTGTTCTGGCTGTACTACTTCAGTGACACCAAGCTCCCAAGCAGCTGTTCTAAGGTGGAGCTTCGCCCTGTTGATCTTGCTTAGATTGTGGATGGTAATGAGAAAGTGGACGAGAGCATCGTAGTAATGAGCAACTAGCATAATGTCGAGCCATGAGCCATAATGTTGAACTTATCATCTATTTATTTGTATCACTTTGTTGTTGTCTTGGAGCAGCTGTGACCATGTTTTGATACTCAAGACGGTTCTGGTGGTAGACCTTTGTTCAGGGTGAGCAAAATCTAACTCAAAACTCACGAGTCCGACTCATGGGTTTTGAGTCGGAGTCGCTGACTCATGAGTCATAGTCGCGATTTTTCCGACTTAAGTCAGAAAAATCGCGACTATGACTTCAGTGTTCCCCAAATAGTATTCGAATAGTATTCGGGGTTTTCCCGAATACTCACCATCTGGGAGTATTCGGCGAATACTCATACGAATCCTCGCCGAATAGTATTTGAGTATTTTGAGGCTCAACTGTAGTATATAGTAATGAAATATGATAACTGTCTACTCGCTATTATCCTCCTCCTCGTCGCCTATAACCCCCCAATCCCGTAGGCAGAGTAGATATCGAAGAGTTGAAGGTAATAACCTGTTCCTTTTCTTTGTGACTATATCACCGCCGACACTAAATATACGCTCTGACGCTGCCGATGAGGCTGGAGTTGCCAAATAGTCCCCTGCGATCTGTGATATAACTGGATACTGATACTGCTTTGCCTGCCAATATTTGAGGATATTAGTATTACGGTCGACACCATTCTCTTTGAACCATCGTCGCCACTCAACTTCCTCAATAGAAGGCCCACGATGCTGATACATCTCGTCGTCGGAATCAAGTTCTCTTAGAGTCGTTCGCTGCTCAGTTTTGGCAGCAATAGTAGCTTCAATAGCAGCAATCTGTATATCGTTCTCACAGTCTTTATACCGGTTATAGCAAGCTGCGAACTGTGCTCTTGCCCTATCTCGTTTTACAGCGTCTACACTATTTGGCATATAAAATTCGTATATACTTAAGTTGAATCTTAGGTCACAGATAGTAGCAATTGACGAGTGGCTTGAGCCTTGATTTGTCACAAGGTTATAATAAGTATCAAGCTTATTATACGACGCTTTACAAGCTGCGCTAATTGCTGCTGTTGTCGATGGAGCGTTTTCTATTGCCTTAAGCTTATTTAAAAGCCGTAGATAGTGTGGAATACAGACGTTCAATGTTGGATAATTATCTGCTTGAATTTGCTCTGCTAATGATGGATTTAAGTATCACGCATACTTAAATCCATCGTTTGCGAAGCACATAAAGCATTGATCGGCTGCTCAAACTTCAAAGCGTTCTCAAGCATATAATATATTGAGTTCCATCGTACAGGCATATCGAGGGACATTGAATCTGAATACCCATAGCATTAACATAGTTAAAGCTGCTCTGCAAGATATTCACCAGAATAAATGGGCTCCTTTATGTATGATATCAAGGACACAGTGCCGGTGAACCCATTCATTATTTATCCAATGAACAGTTATTGCAGCGTGCTCTGCACCATTCATTGCAGACCATGAATCAGTCGTAAGTGATAACTGTCCGCCCTTTACTATATGAGCCTGGAGTTTTATCTGTAGCTTCATATGGTGGTTGCAGAATGTCTTGTGTAAATCGCGCCTTAAGGAGCTCGTTGATATAGCTAATGTTGAAGGGCTAAGCTGGTGAACAAGCTGACGAAACGAAGGCCGATCAACCAGACTCATTGGTAAGTTATTAGATACAATAAATGCAAGTAATAACTCTCTATATCGAGACGCAAGAACGGATCCTCCTACTCGAGGAGTAAAGAATTGTTGGGCATTTCGGGCTGTTCTCATATTCGGAGCGCCCTGCAAATCCTGCGAACTCTGACTCTGCGAACTCTGAGCACAATGGAGTTCCTGGTTTTATAGCTTCATATAATGCAGGATGCATGCTTTCAACATGCCTCCACAAATTACTCGTGATATTCAATGATAAAAGCTTCAGTTTTGGCTTATAATTACAGCCATCTTGCATACAGACAATCTTCATCGTTGCAGGGCTGGTGCTTAACAATGTTCTACTGAATACATTCTTAAGAACAACGGTGACTGAGTATTTGGGAGTTGTGGCCGTATTTGTAGTAATGGTAGAGCTATCGACAGCGAAGACTCGAATGGGAAAGGGGGTGGTAGACGCTGAATTTCCCCATCTTCATCACTTGGAATTGCTGATAGCTCAGAGTCGCTCATTCTGGTAGAAATATCAATTGGTATATTATCTATGGATCTATTTCTACGGATCTATCTATGAGGGTGGGGTAAAATCTTCGTAGCTTGGCATCCTGGGCCGTGCTTGCCAAGGACTCGAATAGTATTCGAGTCTTTGGCAAATACTTGCCGAATACCCCAATTTTAGCCTGAATACTGCTCATCGCCGAATACTATTCGAAAACCACAAATACTAATACTATTTTGGGGAACACTGAGCTGTCTCGAGTCAGACTCATGAGTCAGTGAGTTAGGAGTTACATGATTTTAAACTTAATATCTATTTCAAAATCTCTACTTAAAGGAATACCTTTATGATGCACTTTATAATGTTGTATAGTAGAATATTATTGGCTATTAGTGCAATTAAACAAGACCAATTTCAAAGTGTTCAAGTGGCTGCAGCATCATATGATATCCCTCGAACGCCACTACGTCGACGAATTCAAGGAATGGCTTCCTGAGGTCGAGGATATACTGAACAAGAGCTGACTCTTCATACAGAGTCAACTTCTGTAAGTTGGGGTAGAGAAATTTATGTAGTTAATTTGCCTCGTTTGGAGACTAGACTCACATGTTCTCTCTGAACATTAACTACATAAATTTTGTATTATTTACTGCAAAAAGAAGCTGGTGAAGTTTGTATTGATTGTATTATAATAAAAGGGTGCCTTCCGTATAGCAGGTGGAGAGACGGTATTGAGCAAGTGAGTACGTGAGCACGTGAGCACATCCGCACGTGCAGGTTATAAACCAGGCAGCTCTATTTATCAACGGCCTTGGGGCCCCACGATTTAGCTTCTCACTTTCTACTTGTTGCAGGGCTGCTAATCGTCAGGATTACACTACAGTTCAGACACAGCTGTCATTCAAACGACCTTCGACACTTGCTATGGCGGATGAAGCATCTAGCCAGCACCACAAGCGATGTCATGCTGATGACAGTGCCGTCCAGTTGGTTTATCTCACCACCTACATAAGTCCTTTACCGGAATCTTTCCTGTCTACGAGCTCGGAGCCAGTTATGCATGTGGCAGCACGGCAATAGATATGGAGACTACCAAAGCTGAGATTGTGAATATACGTCATAATATGGATATTGCCTCATGTGACAACATCTGACTAACAGTTGTTGTCCAATGAAGTGAACAACCTCTGACTTTCGAGGCTTTGAAGTGACCAATGTACAGCAGTGAATGAGGAGAGACGATGCTCTCCTACAAACAGCCCAAGTGCGGCGCGTTGTCTTTGAAGATGTGAGCACGGTTGAAGACGCTAGCAAGGCTAGGTGTTACGGCTAGCGTTCACAGCTGCAACCCCATGTGATGGATAACAGAGTGTCATACTGACATTCGTTGCAGTCAGTTTGCTATCAAACTCAAGAGCAAACTTAGAAATCTCCTCCTCAAACCTACAAGTCACTATACATATTTTGGCTTCTCACACCAAAACAAGAGCAATACTACTCAATGATTGCTACAACCCTCTATGATTCATTACACGTCATCGCTCCTTAGTTACTGGGCCGATATGACCACACAGCATATCTCTACAACCCTCTATGATTCATTACATGACATCACTCCTTAGTTACTGGGCTAATACTACCACATGACATATCTCTATCAACTAGAGGCCTAGGAACATGAACGATAGCTCCAAAAGCTTCTACTCATGATTTATTACACATCATCGCTCCTTAGTTATCCACAATATTGGTTAAGTTATGACATAATTTTTCTATAGGGGTACTCTGACCTTGGACCTCCTTTCATTTCCTATAGGCTAGGAACCTAGAATATCTTGTCATTGTCTCGACGCGCGATCTCAGCCAAGAGAATAAGCATTAGGGCTCAAACTTCAGAGTGGCTTGGTCAAATGTCTGACCAATCCTTACATACGCTCTCGCATAATCGAGTGGCTAGTTCGTCTACCTCTACAATTTCCACACCTAGAGAGAAACTTGACAAGTCAAATGCAGAGTTCTCAAGACATCAAGGAGCGGGTTATACTCTCTAATGTAGAGTTAGGAACTCTTTCATAACTTTTGAAAGGTAGTGCCCAGGGCATTGTTATTAAACATATAAGCAAATAAAATGAAAGAAAGTAGGGGACCATTTGCATCATGGCTGCAGGGTTGACGGGTACGAATCACCAAGCTGTGCAGAGTAGGTCACTTTCTTAAAGGCGTGGACTGATATGGATCATGATGGGGAAATTAGATGAAAAATTAAGAATGATGATGCCTCTTTCCCATTTAATTACTTCCTCTACCTACTTATTAGGCAGACCTAATGCATACATCTAAGTGATTCCATCTAGTTGTAGTATTGCGAGACAGTTCTGTGAACTTTCTCTGTGTGGTTTTGAAAATGCATCCGATGCTCGAGCCAGACGTCACAGATTTGACAATCACTTGGCTCGTTAACTCCAAGTCTTCTAACATGCTTTCTCATAAAGTGCCTCATTAGGCAGCTAGGACTTGAAAACGAGATGACCCTCTCCCATTGTCAGGTTCAGGTTCCCAAGACATGCGAAGCATATAGTTGGCCTCTTATCCATCATAACTAACAATATTGCATGTCTAAGCATGATATCTGCCTCGGACTGTAGCAGTTTTTCAGCTTTGATTACGGAGACGGGTGGAACTAGCCGACTAGTGTGACTGCTAGTCTGCATCATAGGGGACCGTCGGTTCGGCACCGTCAGTTCAAAATATTTCTAGACTAGACTGCAGTCTAGTCTAGAAATACAGACTAAACTGCCTA